CAACGGTTTCCACAATAGGCGCCGAATTCGAAGGTCCCGGGTTGGATTCCCTGTAGGACTAGTTTGGAAACTGAACTTTTCTAAATTCTTTCTGGTCTGGATGTTTCGGTGCTCTGGTATTCTTGGTACAGGGAATTCACTAGCTTAACATCATGCAAAGGCAATGGTTGTCTGGTACATTACTATTATTGTTATATTTCGGTATAAACCAAAAGAAATAAAAATAAAATCTGATTTATTGAAACGCTAAAATATATAACTAAATAAGTGATAACCATTAATTTTTGACAGTAAAAGCGGAAATCTGATTTAAAAAATTACGTCATATAAATATTTTTTGTTTGTTTAACATTGAATTTTAAAAGCTCGTCGACGACATAATCTCACACAAGGACAAAATTCCCCAGTGAATACAATATGCTGGATATTGCCCCACGACAATGTAGATAAATCCTGGTAAACAAAATTGTAACTGTCACCGATATCGTTCTTTATGATTGCAGCCTTCTGTGATATTCAAATCGTATGAAATTGACCGCGGACCCTTTTTGATAGCTAAAAACACGTTTTCTCCGAGGAAATACAACTTTGTTTCTAAAAGTGGATTTTGTTTTGTTTCAGATATTTGAGTACTTTTACTTTTCATTTGTCACTGTACTTTTAATTTGACACTGTGTTTGTGTATTTACTGTTTACCTTGATAATTGAAGTAATTCATGCACAAGTCACTATCTACCTTTTTGTCTCATATCACATTAAAAACATGTGAGTATGTGCAAACAATAACGGCCACTTGGTTCGATTTTTGTTAATTTAGCAGCAGTAGAGCTCCTTGTGAAAGAGTTCGTCCAAGGTAGTACTGCCACCTTACCCATTTCTGCCGCCAAGTAGTAATGTCAGCATTACTGTGTTCCCGTTTTGAAGGGTAATTGTGCTGGTGAAATGACGGGTACATGGGCCTTGTCAACTTATGTCTCAGAGTGATGAACGCAGCGGCAGTGCCCCTCAGATCCTTCCGATTTAAGGCTTTGAGTGGCTCTGCAACTGTTATAGACAGGCGTGTAGCCTACCTTAAGGCGCACGATTTATTCGTCCCGATTTATTATAAAAAAAATAATAAAATAATTCAAGTCTTAGAAGTATTCTTGAAAAACCTTATTGGTATACTTACCAATCGTCTAACTCAGCGCCCAATAATCACAAAGCACATTCTTCCGGCGTAACCGTTGGACAATGACGTTGACGCCATTATTATATTTTATTCTCCCTCACGACTCCTTATTATTTTTATGTTTCTTTATAGGAGGATATCGGCTATAAAAACGAAATGTTTCTTGCCTGATTGGACCTTCATGTGACGGTGTTTTTTATTTCCCTCGGAATTTGGTAACGCTTTATTCATTTTACATTCTATAATGGGGACGTGTGTGTTAACTGATATACCAGGTGAATATTAATAAATTTGGTATTTTGCCTAACTCTTTGCGAAATATAGTAGCAGTAGAGCTTCTTGTGAAAAAGTTCGTCCAGGGAAGTACTGCCACCTTATTTATTACTGCCGCCAAGCAGTAGTGTGAACATTATTGCGTTTCGGTTTTGAAGGGTACGGGTGCTAGTGAAATAACAGGCACATGGGACTGTCAATTTATGGGTCAGGATGAAGTGGCAGTGCCCCTCTAATCTTTGTGATTTAAAGCTCTGAGTGGTACTGCAACAGGACAAGCGTGTCGCTTTCCATCAAGCGCACGATCTGCTAGGGACGAACAAGTGTCAATTAGTTATTATAAAAAAATACACTTGCCTTTATAAAAACAAATAATTACACCAGTATACCTGATTGGCGTTCGTCCATTTCGAATTTGAGTTTGGTATAATTAAGATTTCATAATTAACGTAAACAAAATTTAGAATTATGGTTCGGTAAGTAGTCAGTCGGTATTGATATTAATGGGTTAAACAAAGCTTGTAGTGTAACTAGGGCAACATAAACGCGGTTTATGACTAATATCATAGTGCGGGCAACTCACCACGAGCAACTTGGTTGCATTTTGCATAAAATCGATATGATGGTTGCAGGGCGATGCAATAATGTACTACATGTCTTAGCCGTAAAAGAAATCTTGCGGGCGACAGGAGATTAGATCCTGGTATTTCTCATTTTATATGTTCTAGCAGTTTCTTGTTGTAGACAATTCTTTGCTTTTGTTGTCGTGTTTTCAAAAGATTGTTCGCAATCACAGTATCTACACCCACAGACAAGCGTAAAGTCTGAATAAAAAAATAAAAAATCAAAGCCAAGAAACAAAGAAAATCAACCTCTCAAAAATGAGTGTGCTTCTAAAAATGACTGACATCAGGGCTGAATTTAAATTTCCAGTAAAAGTACGCATAAAAATCTTGGTGTATTTTGCTGTAAACGAGGCATGACGCGATGAGCAGCCAACCTTGCTGGACCAGATATGAATAGAACTCGACGATGTTAGTTTGAAATTTCGAATTTTAAAACTAGCAGAGTTATATCGCTAGTCAGTTGCTAGGGTAAGTGCATTAAAGTGTCTAGCTAGGGGTGGGTGCTCCAGGTACCGTTTCTGCGCCCATTATTTTATGCAAAGTAAGCGCTAGTAGGAGTCACGTAATAATTTTGGGAAACAATGAAGCTTTGTTGCTCGTCTTCATCCTAATTTCTGAAATCTGCTGCGTGGTATGAAGGCGCGTGGCAGATTACGTTTCCACGTTATGCTGATACGAGTGTCTAGTTTTTTGTTAATATTATGTATTGTTGCTGTGTGTATGCATTAGTTTAGCTGAATATTGAAATACTCGTATTTCTCATTTGTAACCGACTTCAAAAAAGGAGGAGGGTCTCAATTCGACTGTATTTTCTTTATGTTTGTGTGTAAGTTACGCGATTACTCCAGCATTTGTGAACCGATTTTGATGATTCTTTTTTGTTGGAAAGAGGGTAATCTATTCGCGGGATGTGAGGGTATTGGTCCTATTCCAAATATTCCATCTCTTAGGGTAGCAAACTAAAGGATGAATCCGGTTTCGCGCACTTTCCGACCGATGTCAATAAAACTTAACAAATAGATGTGTTAATAGATCCCACGAACTTTTGAGGTCGGTTTTTTTATAATAAAAAGTTATAAAACTCTTGACGATCTCTGTGGTCGATTGCCTTGTACACCAGTTTTCATGACGTCATCATCTCTGGGGTTCCGGGTTCGATTCCCGGTCGGGTCACTATAGAAACTAACTTTTCTGCACTGTCTCGAGTGTGGGTGTTTGTGATACCGTCGTTGTTTCCGATTTCCATAACACAAGTGCTTAAGTTACTTACTTTGGGATTAGAGCAACGTATGTATGTGATGTTGTGAATTCAATTCAAATTATCAAAAATGCTCATTATTTGTATCAATGACATTTAATGTATCTAATCTATTTCATAAAATACTATTATTATTAATATTTTAATTGTGTGTGTGTGCAAATCTTTGCATTTAGTTATGTAATAGATTATGTTGTTAATGAATGACTTAGCCCAAGATTATATTGTAACCTTTATGTGCTGAATGTTACGGGCTTGTGACGTGGCAATAAAGTTTTTGAATCTTTGTCTAATGTGTCTATTTATTTATGGACGAAATGTGACCTCATAGTATTCTATACGTAACGTGCGTTTCACATTTCTATTCATCATATTGTGTGTACGGTAAAATGCTTAATCAAAGATCTTATAAATAAAAAAAAAATACCAAAAAATCGTTTATTTAATAACTTTACATAAATAGTTAAATGCGAGGATAGTTTATTTAATTTTCATACATTTCAAAACGGAAATTACCACTTCCAAAAGTCGGGGCAATTTTAGGTCAAATGGGAGTTAACACAATATGTTTATCGCGAGGACGGGGGTTGAAACAGTAACAGCCAATACTACAGTGAGCCTTGGAAATAGGTTGTAATGAAACAACAAAACCCTATTGTTATTAAATAATATTTTTATCTTTTCTACAACAGAACCATTTAAAAGCCTGCCCTTATCTGGATAGAGTAATACTAGATTTGTATAGCTATTTATTTATATTACAAAGCACGCCGTATTGTCTTTATTGCAGATGATATTAAGATATTTACAACAGATGTTTTCTATATGTTAGTGGTAAAGTATATATAATCACTATAGTTAACATACAGATAAACCTATGATAAAAACTATACAAAGGGACGTGAAGATGTATCTAGTTTTAATTTTACCCATTGCAAAAATCAGACGTTACTTCTCGCAATTAAATTTCTAATTACGAGAAGTAATTAGAAATTTAATATATTTATGTAACAATTTTGTAACAAAAAACGAAAATTATGTTATATAGATTTTAAGACTTTCGTGGGTATTCACTAAATCATTATCACTAATATCAGGTTTCTTACCATACGGTATGACTTCTTTTTGTTTTCCCGATATTTCGGAACGGTTGCACGCTCCATGGCCAGTCAACCCGTGACCATGGAGCGTGCTACCGTTATAATATATAATAAAAAGAAGTCGTACCGTGGTAAGAAACCTGATATTAGTGATAATCATTTAGAAAATTATGTTATCTATTTAATATCAGGAACATAAATAAATACAACAAGTAGCTAGTTGGTAAGCAATTTCTGATTGGTGACTAACTGTATAACAAGTGACTAATCAGATAACACCGCTGACGCTCACGTCGCGTGATCACTTAGCATTTTAAACACTATTACTTCAGCAGTTTAACAATTCCTAATGATTACTATTTACCTATCATTTAAACGTTCAGATATGGCACATTTATCATACAAAACTATCAGTCTTTCAATATCAAGGAAATAGTTCTAAATTATATTTACAATTCAGAAGAAAATTAATCTTCCACAAAAATATATTTGCGACTTATTAACTTAAATATCTATGAATGTCGAACTTATTACTATACATTTTTATCGGTAAAGATTTTCATTTTCATACGATGGAAAATAAAGATATGTAACAAAAAGGAACTGATATGTTTATCTATACAATTTACTTGATTATGTTAAGGTATCACTGCTAGGTTGTATCTCTTTTAGCACAATAATCTAATTGGCACTATGATATGCTACCGTTATGAGCGAAAACCGCGGGTCACCTGGCAAGAAGAGCTGCGATCGCAACGATGAGGGTAAACGCTCGTGCGCTCACGCAGCCCGAACTTTGAGTAGAGTCGAAATCTGCACGGGATTTTATTTTAAGTTTTAGAAGTGACCACACTATAGTGTAACAGGAGTCACGTTGTATTTATGAATAATATATCATTTAAACATCATTAATTAATTATAGTCAGTAATTGAAAAACTGAAACAACATGAAATACTTACAGCCGTCGGCTCCTTTCCATGGCTCTACTTCAGCGCCGTTGACTCTGTTATCGGCAGAACTGTCCGACAACGGTTTTTTATGTTTACCTGTTACAAATGTTAAAACGTATGAGGTAAAAACGTCTCAGCAAGAAAAAAAAACGGTTTCAGAAATGATTGCGTCATAAAACTTCACACATTTTGTTTAGGAGGCTATGAAAGTAGGCTTTCAAGTCTGAGCGTAATTTATGGCGCCATAAAGAATATAAAGGAAAGCCGAAATCTATAACAATAAGAGGTTACATTGGAAGTCAAAGCGCAAACAAAATCGCTTTTCCCACAATAATATTACTAACGACCCAATTGTACGGAAGCATTGAGCCGTGGCGGTGAAACCAATAAATACAAAATCCACCATCGACCTTTCGCTCCACGCCACCGCCGCCGCTCCAAGAGCACGATGAATGTATAAAAGGCACGTGGGACTTAACTTTGACTCCCATTGCCTTTCTAATCGCGGTTTACATTGCAATATTGAATTCCCAAATTTTCCTCAGGCAACGGCGTAAGGAAAATCAACGCAAACAGGAGAATTTATCATGAAAAATTAATCCAGAAATTGCGAAGTTGATCGCCCCTAGAAGGGTTTCATTAGAAAGTTTGAGGCTGTTTCGGCATTAATTATTTACACACCTAAATCATTTTGGGGGCACCAATCGAAGTGGTGCCAATTTCCTTTTAAAGTGTGATTATTCTGAGTTTTGCGTTTATATTGCGATTTGCATGGAAATATTTATATACCCAGTACTTAATGCGAGTACTTACTTCTTCTCTTTGTAGCGAACGTTGGGACGTTGTTGTCTGTAGTACTTATGGTTGAGGGGGCTGGTATTTCTGTTGAAAATAATAAATAATTGACATAAATAGTAAATATTTTCTTCTAAAAAATGAATTAGGGTATCATTAAATTGTCACAGGAAAGAGATGAAGGGGACATCGAAGGTAGTAGCATTAACTGTACAAACAAGGAAGTTTGTGTTGTGTAGGGTTACCGAGAGGTTGTCAAAGAGGAAATATAAAAAAAAATGCGAAAGGTGCCAGTGCTAAATCTTAAAAGATTGGCGTTGAACAAAGATAAAATCACAATATTCATTTCATGTTTCATACCATCAAGTCGTATAAGTCCGTCAGTTTCCCCGAGAGAGTTCTTGGCAACGCAGCGATACGAGGAGAAATCTCTGGACGACACTTTGCGTATGGTCAGCATCATTTTGCGGCTGTAGCCGTCGTCACTGAATGACGTTATGTATTTGTTACCTGTTAACGATTATTATTTGACTTAATAAAGGTAAAGATAAATTTATTTTAATATAACTTAATCTAATACAATATAATTAAAACAAATTTAAATAAAGCTTTTATATTATTAAAATAAGCATTAAGAAGGGAATCTAAATGATACATTCTTCATAGTAAAGCTATACATTTTTTATATAATATACCAATATAGCGGATCCTGGTTATATGATTTGAGATGATGATTAGAGACAGCATTTTAAGCGATAAACAAAATCGTGAATTGATTAGTTTTAAAGCAAAATTTAATTTAATTGTATTTATTTAACACCCCGAATATCACATGTATTCGGGGTGTTAAATAAATACATCTGAAATTTCATGGGGTGAATTTATTTTGGAGGCTCAATTTATATTGCCGAGGAACGGAATGGAAGTGAGTTTTTGTACCGAGATTCTACATAGTATAATGAACTTCATGACAAATGTGTAACATACAAACTACAAGTATATACGTTAGCTGCGGGAATTCCTGAGACTGCGCGAGAATTCTCCGGAACACGCGCGACCTGCTTACGTAATTGACATAAAGTACATTGTGCTATGTACATATTTTGTTACAAAAAATTAGGTCTGCGGTAATGTCATTTGAGCCATAATGGAGATAGGCAGCAGCATTTGCCTGTCGTTTCTCAAGTACGTTACATGACAATGACATTATTTCTAAAGTCTATGTTTAATAGTAAGTAGAAGTGGTCTGCCACAGAGTACGTGTTGAATAAAACTATAATCTCAGTATAGAGTACTGAAAAAACGACCTCAAACATTCGTGGAATTACATCTATTTGCCAAGTTTTATTGAAATCGGTTACCGGAAAGTGCGTGAAACCGGATTCATCCCTTAGTTTGCCCTTAGAGGTGGAATACTTTCTTCAAATGTAAGTAGGACTACTGCTGAGGTACCCTCTTTCTAACAAAAAAGAATGATCAACATTTACGTACAAAAAATATAGACAAATTAAGAACCTCTTCCTTTTTTGAAATCGGTTAAAACATATACGAATGAACGATTGTTGAAACACAAATTAATCAAATAGTGCTTTTAACTCAAATTGCAAAGAACGTAATTTGCTCATTTCAATCAGCTTAACCAATGAAAAGATCCTATGAGATTAAATCTCCAAAAACAATTCAAACTATTTTAATTTGTTTCTGTAATGAAATGTGTTAAAGTTTAAAAGTGCATAATGCAAGTGTAAATTACATAATATTATTAAATAATAATTATTGTAGAACATTTTGACATGAGTACCTGCTACAGGTTCACGAGTACGTCAAGCTTGACACTTAATACTTAAATCCAACTCTATGCTGCTTACGATAAAAACGGTCCAAAGTACAAAGTGTCAAGCTTGATGTGCTCTTGACTGTACAAATATATTTTATTACACGCGCAAGAGTTGTGTTTTTATTAAAACAAGTGTTTTATTATACAGTTTCCAACGAAAGTAATAATAACCACTGTAAAAACCGTTATTGCACTTTTCATACACAGGTTATGAGCACAAAATTTACGTCTAAAGTAAACTCACTCCAATCTCTATGCCTAGGTAACCGCCGCAGAAAGGTAATAAAACCAGAAGTGCTACATTGCGCGCGTCGCATGCATAACAAACAAAACTTTTTAGAGCATGCTATTTACATTCAGCTATTTCCTGGCTTGCGTAGCTTAATATTGGAACTATTTTAGGACACTTAAAGGCCGTTATGGAGCCATGAAGTGGTAAAATATTGTTTACAATGTTTTTATACGTCATATTTTTTTTAATATAACGCGATATATATTTAAACAAATCGAGTTGTCTATAATTTTAATGATTTTTATGAAATACGGTGAGTACAAACATCGTTTAAAAGTACCGCACCGTTAAGGATGACAAAGGTCAAACGAGAATAACAATATCCAGCACGACTATAAATTACATTCAACTATTTAGGTAAATTTTGAACGCAGTTTGATTAAATCCTGGAAGTTTGAGTAGTATCTAAATTCTCACCGGAAATGATCATGTCTCCGCGGTCGGTTGTCCAGTAGTTGATGGAGGAGGGGTACGCCTCCGTGTGGCACTCTAGCGTCACGTCCTGTCCAATATACGCACCCTCCAGCTGGTTCGGAATTGACAGCATCGGTGGAACTGTTATAAAAATACCCAAGTGTAGGAAATATCCAAGCGATAGATACTTTAAACACACTGTTTTTCTAAATTATTTTTCAGTCAAAGAATAGGTTTCCAAGATTGAATACAAGATACAAATAGTAAAATAGAGGTACAGTTATATATATTTAAAATAAAGAACTCAATATGGTTACATACAGTTTTACGTAAATCTAACGTAACCTTGTGTTAAGTAACTTGGTTCGAAACATACTTCCAGTGTCAATATTTAAATTAATCCAAAATCAAGATTAACTATGGAAAGTATGTAGAGCGCAAAGAGAACTCTGCTGTATAACATTCAGAGCATTATCATATAATTTGCCTTCAGCATAATGAAAACTGACAATGAATTCACAGCGAGACTTCGTTGGTTAATCGAGTGAAAGTTACGTGAACATTTTCACGTATCTTAGAAGAAACGAAAAGAAGGACTGCTTAGACACCACGCGACAACATTTTGAATATAGGCACTCATTTCAAGAACATCCATTAGAAACTAAATTTGGTAAAGGGTAAGCACGATTACGTAAAGGGTATTTTCGTAAAATTATTTAATTACGTTTGAAATGAGAAAATTTCAACTTTACTTATTATAGTTCGTGTTTTGTTGGATTCCGAATTACGGTCCATCTTCCTTATAAGAAGTGATGTTTTCATTATTCCTGAATTCCTGCATGGTTTATGAAGGGTCCCAGAGCAGTAAAGGCACTGAGATACGGAATGTGAATTAAGGGGAAGAAAATCGTCTCATTGGCTTTCTAGACGAGGTACGAGCGACGGGCCCGACGGGCGCAGCTCAAACAGATACTATCGCCATTATCGCGTCCGTGCCGTATTCACGTCAGCATAATGCTCTAATTGGCCGCAATTACGCCAGATCCGCCGGAAGGCGCTTTCAGGTAGAGACGCCGTGTCCTCGTAAATACTCGTTAACGACTGCCGCCCGAGAAAAATAATATTTCTGAACGCTGACTCTCGTCGAAAGAAAACGACGTGGAAATGCTCACGTACTTACAGAGAAAGAATTTGGGGCCAAGTTAACGGACCGAGCGAAATGTGCTGCCGTTTTTTTCTGTTCTGGGTGTGAAAGTGATATTGCTATAATTTACTACACGAGACGTCGAAACTTACTTCCAGTATATACGTTCCTATGAATATTAATGTCATAGTGAGAGGAATAACAAATATGCTTTTATTATTATTATGACAATTCAAAAATTGTAAAGCGTACTTTTTTTACTAAATTCGCCAAACAGCTGTGCAGTTTATTGGCGACATATGCACTCTTACTTGATTATACCTACTTTATTTTACAGTAACATCCATGGTTTCTATTAAAGACTTATTTGTACTTACTAAATATAGAGTTAATCACTTTTAACGAACTTAACGCATAGTTATTAAGCTCTTTGCATGAAATATTTCGTGAACACTACACGGTTGTGCATACTAATTAAATAAAGAGTTGCTTGGTACGCTTTTAGCTTACGTTTTACTACATATATTTGCGTAATTTTCTATCATCCCTTATCCAACCCATGTCGTTAAAAACCTTCTCAACTAAATACTAGTACATATGCCAAATGAGAACACTACTATGTGTGTTATTTGATTTCATGGCAATTTCACAATAATGCTAAAATTTTCAACGTTTAATTATGTTCTAAATTAGTGCAAGTACATGCTTACGTAAACACTCCTAATGGTCTCTGACAATAAATATATCATTGTGTATAACTTCCTTTGATTATACATTGTACAGTTTTTTTAACTATTATTGATAATATTACCCACGTGTCCATTATGTAAAATTATCTATTTTTTCTTGAATATTCAGGATAGAATTAAGATGCATTGTGCAGGATAGCAACAGCTGTTTGGAAATCACAAGCTTTATGGCCAAACTGTTGCCATGCTGGTCTGCCACGCAGAGGTCCCGGGTTCGATTCCCGGGCCGGGAGAAATATATGTATGGCCTATATTTATTTATCTCGTGAATTTGGGCGTAATTTGTGATGCTCTACAGGGTTTTCCTAGTGAGTGTGTGCGTTATTCTTATTATCAATTAAGTATGCGTGATATTCAATAAACTTAAGATTACAATTATTAAAGCGACATGTAGTTGTAAAGGTACCTAAGGCTTAGTGAAGAAAAACTTTCATAAATTTCTCACAGATGACCCTTTGGCAAAAAAGTCGCTAAAAACCAAAAGATCTGTAAGAAGCACAAAACTTCGTAAATTCTATGGTCTATTGGTTCGTTCCGTAGCTAAGTTGGGAGAGCGATGGCGTTCAGCAATATATTATAAAAAAATAATAGTCAATAAACTTAATATCAATAAAGTACTTATGTTTTTTTACCGGAATTGGACTAGCACAGGCTTCGCGTGTTCTGTGAAAAGAACTCAGTTGTACTGTTGCAGTCGAAGTTTGAAACATATGAAAGGCAATTTTGCAATGTTTCCTCGATACGAATTTCATGCTACATCATGCAATAATTCAAAGGAAATCAGGCAGAAAAGTTTCACAACACGTTGGTTGCTATTCAAATCTACTTGGCTACATGTGGATATTCACATTAGAAAGCTTTGTGAAAATATTGAATTCCGCCAGGCCGTGGATAAAATAAAGGATAAGGTTCGCAGATTATAGCGCTGTTGGGAGCTAGCGAAATTATTTTCATTCAGTATTCACATATTTCTAGTTTTTTGGTATGTTTAGATACTATTACAAATCACAAGTACAGTTTAATTGTATCAATTTCATAACCTTTTTATAAAAAAAAAACAAAGCTTGTGGAATCTTTTGTCTATTTCCTAAGTTTTCTTGAAATCGTTTAATGGAAAGTGGGTGAAATTTAGTAAACCTGATTCATCCCCTAATTTGCCACCCGTAGAGGTGGAATATTGTCTTCAAATTTGAATGGGACCACTATTGAGGTACCCCCTTTCCGACAAAAAATATTTCCATGATTCGAAATGTTTTCTTAAAATTAGTTTTGTTTGCATTCAATTTTTAAATTTTTTTTCATTCAATCATATCAATTAAGTCTGCCCGGGGGTGGGAACCTGGTTACCTGTGATACAGGTTTTCCTAGTTCAGGGACCAGCCTGCACAACCAGATTGTATTTTGATATTTTGTAAAGTATTTATTCGTACATGCACCGTTTGTGGAGAAAATAAATGATTTTTATTATTTATTATTATTATCAAAATCGGTCCATAAATATCGGAGTAATCGCGTAAACAAGCGTAGACAAAAAAATATAGTCGAATTGAGTACCTCCTCCTTTTTTCAAGTTAGTTAAAAAGTAAGGAATTAGCGTTTACATTTACAATTTTTTGCAAATAAAAGAAGATCAGTGCCTCTACCATGAGATTACAGTGACAGTTATCGCAAGCGACCGTGTAAAATTTTTGTAATCAAAATGTTGTTCCTTCTGGTAACCGCTAGAGATGCTGTACAATTTGCCATATAAAATTGTGAAGTAATTTACGCAGTCGCTAGAGACAACTGTCACAGTAAACTCGTGGTAGAGACACAGAATAGGTAAATAGAATAAAGGAAAACTCACATTGGACCATCAACACGACTCGCTTACTGATTGAAGGCGGCACACCGTTGGACGCTATACAAAGGTACGCGCCCATGTGGAGACGGGACACCTTTGAGATTGTCAAGTTCTCGCCGTCCACTACGTTCACTGCGAACAAATAAATTCCATTGGCTTCCACCTTCCGTCACCTATATTAAACATGATATCTACGGTACATTTCTGTACTCGTTGACTACACAACTCGTAAGTGAAGAGCCTCTTTTGTGAAAGTAGAAACGTCTGCTTGAATAGGCAAGAACGATGACAAATTGAATAAAAGCAGACTAGAGTCAAATTGTGTTATTGTTGCCTCAAAATGTTACACTCGAGCGAAAAATATATTCCATCGCTATTGCAAACGTTAATCCGATTGTTCTCTACGCGACCTCCTCAATTATCTTTTGTGCTTATCTTTTCTGCAGTAAAACAGTCTGCAATATGACTGACTCCCGCGTGTCGTTGTCGTCAATTCTGTGAAATTCGGGTTATTTCTTTTTTTTAGAATCACAATCAAGAGTCGGTAGAACGTAACAATATCTGGCGGCCTTCGATTATGTCATAAATAAACCACAGCTAAAGCAGCATCGTCGATCGAGTACCACCCGCGTCTGTTGATCCATTTACGTGATCTCCCAGCCTGCACTATCGCGCTCCTCATATTTTCCTTTTATTTCGTGGTTTCGTTTCTGTACAAGCACGCCAAAATAATGACCGTACAGGGCGAATATTTTGACCACATATTTATTACGAAAATCTGTATAATACGAGTGAGTTTTGATTGTACATGTTGTGCCCTTTTCAGCTTGAAATGGATGTTTTGTTCGTGCAATGTTGCGACCAGGTTACTCGGAAAATGTCCTATTATTGTTGCCGTAATATTAAAAGCTGCAGACATGTGTTTTGTAAGAAACGCTACTTACAATGTAGATAATGTGTTTCATGATTTGAAATAGGTGAAGCATTTCTTTGACTGTTTATTTCGTATTTACGTACCTAATTCGCCATTACAGTTGAATTCTTGTCCATCTTCTCTGCGCCACATGACGTAAGGTTCAGGATATCCTGTAGCTCGACAGAACATAGTGACGTTAGTACCCTCTCGCACTACCATGTCAGTCGAAGTCATGTTGTCGATGATGACAGGCGGCACTGTGAACAAGGAGTTTATTATACTTTTTATTTATTTAATATACATATATATACCGTATAAGGTTTATATATGTATGATTTTTAAATAAGGTCAAACTGAAAAACTTCTACTTCGTGTTTGCAAGAGCAAGTGTTAATGAAGAATGTATATGGTAGCGTTAATCTGACTCAAATCCTGTTGATGTTTGTTTGTTTCTTTGACATATACGTTCATAAATCTTCATTTCGTTTGACTTACTATACCTATTACGTGTTAGTATATGACGGCGTTTTACTAACCAACAACCTGTAGGTATCCTTTTCTTGAACGCATTGGGTCGGTGTTGACCTGGCACATATACCAGCCTCGATCAACTTCCTGCACATTCTTGATGTGCAGGTACCAAGACCGGTGGTCGTTATATGACAGGCTTATACGCGGATTTTGCGTTATTATATTGTGGTGGATACTCAAAATTGTCTGAGTGTCTACTCGCACCCACGCCACCTGTACAGGACAACAAAAGATTTAAATAACAATCCTATTTACAGATAATACGTAGTTACAATTAGAAATACGAGTGGAGTATAGAATCAAATGTTTGTTAAAAACTATTCTTTGGTAAACAGCTCGTCGACGTAGTTTCTCGGAAATGCACTATAAAATTTGTTTGTAGATTGCCATGATTGTTCAATAATAACTTTGGTACTTGTAGTAGGTATTTTTTATGATACAAGTGACTGGGCGATCAAAGCCGAGGTGGTAAACGACACGCCTGTCCATAGCAGTTGCAGTGCCGCTCAGAGCTATATTAAATCACAAAGATTTGAGGGGCACTTCCACTGTGTCCGTCACGTAGGTAAGGTGGCAGTATTTCCCTAAACGAATTCTTCCACAAGGAGTTCTACTGCTACTAAAAGATAGGTAGGTATTTTAGCCAATATTATTGTTATTGAAATTGAAAAACTGCTTCCATGGTCGAACGGTTATAATGCTGGGCTGCCATGCAGAGGTCCCAGCCTCTATTTACGGGCCGGGAGAAATATTTGTATGATCTAATTATTCATTCATCTCGTTAGTATGGGTGTAATTTGTGGTTATCAACCTATGTGTGTGTCCTTAGCACCCGCAATACATTCTTCATAACAAAATCATTAACAGCTTTGTAAAAACTTAGCTTTCAGCTCGTTCTGTTTAAATCCAAAGCCAGATTACACGACACTCCAATTTTGCTAACTAGCCGTCCTGCATGATTAATAACCTCAGAATCGTGCATTGCAAAGTGATATTAAGTTGGCTTGTTAAAAGTTTACCCCGTGCACTGCACCAATAAAGTTGTATGAAGTTGGAGGCACCATATCCGCTCATAGAATTACCCGGTATGCGCTCCAGCTCGTTCATCATGCGATGTGACGTGTGCCACTGGATGAAAGGTTGTTTGTTTCCTTAATTGATCGTGTTTGTTCGCGCTTAGTGCTAATATTGCGAACCACTAAACCTAGAAACTGTTACGGCTATTATCACTCATTATGGTAGTAGAATTTTTACCAATATATGTTACTAAAACATTTCTTTGTTTTCAATATTGCACTTTTTAATATGCTTAATAGAATGAAAAATGTTTGTAAATTGTGAGAATTTTCATTCAAGCATCTAAATCAAATTCATTTCAATATTTTTATTGTGAACATACAAAATGTATCGGTATTGGATTTCAATCGCGCTAAAAACTGTAGTTTGTGCATGCAATGCGTTTCGGATGGTGGAATTTTTATTATTTTACAACCGCGTTTGAACATTGCGTCACTGTCGGTCGGCATGCGGATTGGATTGGCAGACTATTGGGTACTGACTAGTCACGTGCGATGGACAGATTTGTTGAAATAATGAGCTGACACTTAAGCTCCAGTTGGGGACGATTTAAACGTAGTTTTGTGTGATACGACTTATAAAGCACATTATTCTTTTTTTTCTACAATTTTCATAACTGGTAATACATTTGTTACTACATTTCGGCGGCAATACAATTATTATTTGGTACTTGCACTTCCCTAAAAACATCTGGCAGGGTGAATTTCACAATATCCGCCAAATCTTAATCCTAATCCTATATGTATATTACAAAGAAAAACAACATTTCGTAACACTTTTATGGAAATTGCTGGTTTTTGTAAATACACGTGTTTTACGCATTTTATTTCATCTTAATTGAAACAATATTAGATACGAACGAAAGATAGAAAGATATGAACACATTCCGCTTTCCGCCGAAATTCTTTGTCTGGTTCTATTTATCGAGTTCTTAGGTTTTGTTAGGTTACCATAGGAAACGAAACTATTTTTCCGGATTTAAATCGCGTATATTTGTTTTTTCAAACAAACCGACGACGTTTCGAGCCCTTTACAGGTCCCATGGTCACGGTTGACAGTAAAAAATCCGGAAAAATAGTTTTATTTCCTATGGTTCTATTTATTTATTTTTATACATAATCAATGTATTCGTAATTTGTTTCAAATATCAAACAACTCCTTGACAGTAAACTGTTAAACTGGTTTGTGGTTAAAAATCCGCACATCAACACATACCTACCACATTCTTCATGATTCATACTATAAAAAGTACACTATAATGATACTATAAAAAGAACAGCTTTTCGAGCAACAGCATTGATAATATTTTTATTTAAATGGAAGCGTAAAATATTATTTTTTTAAACAACATAATGTTTCGATCTGTTTACAAGTCCCAGGGTCACGGTTTAATATTAGACATTACTGTTTGATGAGAAATACCGTCTCATTTGGAGAAAGAAAAGCAAATATACGCCATTATAAATTTTGAAAAAATAAATAAATGCCGTACACATTAATCGCCCAGCACTAGGGAAACCCTGTATCGCGGGTGCCACGGACACACACATAGATAACCAAAAATTACACCCAAACTCACGAGAAAAATAGACGTAATTATTTCTCCCAGCCCGGGAATCGAGCACCAAACCTCTGCGTGCATGCATAGCTATATATAGCATGGTAAGCGTTCGGCCACGTAGGCAGTTTGGTTTCATTTACAATATTACATCCACACTTAGGTTTTTATACCGTGGTAGCCTAATGGTTTGACCTACTGCCTCTCAAGCAGAAGGTCGTATGTTCAAATCCGAGTTCGCACCTCTGAGTTTCTCAGAATGTATGTGTGAAATTTAATTTGAAATTTATCATGATTCACCGAAAAGGGTGATGGAAAACATCGTGATGAAACCTGCACGTTGAAGAAGGTTCACAACCCTCGGAAAACGTGTGAAGTCTCCAACCCGCATTGGGCCAGCGTGGCGGACTATGGCCTAAATCCTCGTCTGAAAGGAGACCCGTGCCCAGCAGTGGGACATATAAATGGGTTGATGATGATGATGACTTAGGTTTTTGGTAGCAGTAGAGCTCTTTGCGAAAGAGTTCGTTCTGGGAAGTACTGCCCCCTTGTCCTTAATCAAGCCATCTATACGTCCTACCGCTGAGCACGGGCCTCCTCTCAGGCGAAGGTTTAGACCATAGTCCGCCAAGTTCGCCCACTGCGGGTTGGCGACTTCACGCGTTTTCCGAGGGTTGTGAACCTTCTTCGACGTACAGGTTTCATCACGTTTTCCTTCACCGGCAAGCTCATGGTAAATTTCAAATTAAATTTCGTACATACATTCCGAAAAACTCAGAGGTGCGACTCCGGATTCGAACCCATGGCCTCTGCTTGAGAGGTGGTAGGTCTAACCGTTAAATGTATCGATCGATTTTTTAAGTGTTCGCGATTGGTACACGTTGGAAATGAAACTCTTAATAAAATTGGAAGTAAATTAATTTGCTACTCCGCGAAACCAGTGAAGTGAAGTGAAGTTAAATCGTGCAAAATCGTGCATGTGTTGAATATTTTTTCATGCAGTTAATTATCCCACACTCCTTCCGTATAAAATTAATAAAATAAATCCCTACTGACCCTTACATCACGTATAAAAAGAAACTTCCAAGTTGTAAACTATTGAGTATGAAAAAACCGCTTTAAATACTCGCCTTGTACCCACGCAAGTCTTCAACGACACAGGCAAGCAGTGCGTCGCGACCCACCGTTACAGTGACATTCGGGACGGGCTCTACGAACCTCGGGAACAGTGACTCTGTAACAACATGAAACACTTAATCCGATTTAACAACAACGCTGCCCTCCTTGTCAAAATTAACGCATTTGCATTTTGGTAACTTTCGAGATATTGGCACCTTAAGTTGTTTTTTATTTGAAAAATGTCAATTGCGTTGATTTTGCTTAACAGTAAAATTGATAATAAACAAGATATTAAAAAAACCGCTTATAGAGGTTTGTAGATCTCGTTTCGCTGATTCCAGATGTCCCTGATTTGATGAAATCAAATAATGTCGTAACTCAAAATCGGTGAATTGAGAAAACATAATTTGAAATAATTTTTAATACAAAAATCGAACACTTAAAAATATTCCTTCGATCCGGTCGGATGCGAACCGACGTCTCCTTACAAACCGTGCCTCTCTAGCCATAGCTGGTAGCAATAAAGGTGTCTAACTGGGTGACGAAATAGTCTCATAGATTTCTCATAGATGGCGCTACGGCTAAAAGTAGTTCAAAACTATTTGGGTTGTCGGATATTAGTATTTACAAAGTTCAGACAATAAGCACATATAAAAATTCGTGAGGTTTTCTGGTTCTGGTTGGCAATAAGATCAATTCAGTTTTTTTTTTAATTTTCAAATCTCTACTCGTGTTTTCTCAATGTCACAATTTTGGGTTACGACAGTATTTGGGTTCATTTGCGATATGTTAACAACTAAATTTCGCTAAATATGTCAATTACTTTAGCCATGATAAGGAGGTCAGAATGTTTCACATACTATAAACTGACGCAGATACAGTTCATGAACCATAGTTGGCAAAATACCAGGGGTTTGGCCGTTATTGAAAACTTTTTTATGATACCAAATGACGGGGAGACAAGTCGTACACGGGAAACGTCTGTTCATAACAGTTGCAGATTCTAAGGGGCAATGCCACTGCGCCCGTAATCCTGAGGCATAAGTTGCCAAGTCCCATGTGCCTGTAATTTCACCAGCGCCTTTCTCCTTCAAAATTGGAACGCAGTAGTGCTCACATTACTGACTCACATCAAAGACATTGAAAAGTCCCATGTATCTGTAATTGGTAACTGCCTCCGTGGCCTAACTGTTATCATGCTAGACTACCACGCAGAGGTCCCAGGTTCGATTCCCGGGCCGGGAGAAATATTTGTATGGCACACATTTATTTATCTCGTGAGTTTGGATGTAATTTGTGGTTGTCTATGTGTGTGTCCTTGGCACCCGCGGTACAGGGTTTCCCTTGTGCAGACTATGAGTGTGTGAGTTATTATTTGTTATTGTTATTTTACCAGCACACTAACCCTTCAAAACTAGAACGCAATAATGCTTACATTACTGCTTGGCGGCAGAAATGGAAAAGGTGGCAGTACTTCCTTGGACAAACTCCTTCACAAGCAGCTCTTCTCCTACTGATTTAATTGAAAACTAATTTAATTATCATTAAAAATACTGATTAAATAGACATAAATTGATGATTGAAAGTGTAAAGCGTTTAAAACAAACAGCAATATTTCTTTACTAATAATAAATTTATTCGTTTACAAATAAACGTTAGAAGGTATAAAATGTACACAATAAAAAGTACAGTAAAAATCAAAACATAACAACAGTTGGTACTTAAAAAAAGAAAAGTTGAGCATTAAGTATCATCAACATTCCAGCGTCACAAAGATACAATCTGTGTTATTTTATACGGACATGACAAAAGAATATTCAACAATTGTTTGTAAGATAAATTTTAAGAAGCAGTAGAACTCTTTGTGAAAGAGTTCGTCCAGGGAAGTACTGTCGCCTTAAATATTTTTGCCGTTAAGCAGTAATGTGAGCATTTCTGCGTACCATTTTTGCTGGTGAAATTACAAGAACTTGTCGACTTATGTCTAGAGCATAGTCTCCCAAAGTGGTCCCTATCGCCGCTCCGTGGGTGTTGAAGTCCTAGGGTAGGGGCCTCGGAAGCAATTGACAGGCGTTGATGCTGTCCAGGAGGTGCTACCGTATTAAAACAAAATGAATTATCTATGTAAGCTACATTACTATGTGGGGCACACTATAAGTTTCAGGAATGAATAAGAAAAAATACTTTAAATGGTCAGAAATGAATATATAGTTTCTCAAAATATTCTCCGTTAGTGTTAATCCACTTTTTTATACGAAATAAACAATTTTGAAAACGTTTATGCCACTCCTCCGCGACAATCTCTGAAACTTATTTTTCATAATGTTCGACATCTTCAGGTGATGAAAATCGTTGACCGCGTAACTGGTTTTTAATTTTTGGAAATAAATAAAAGTGACAAGGTGACGCGATCCATTTTTTGAGTCTCAATCAAATTGTGTGGGATCCACTGAGAGCACAGCTTTTTCACGCCCAAATGTTTGTGTAGTAATGATTGCATTTGATTCATGTCTATGCCTAAAGATGCCCGAGTCTCATGGTATATCACATGCCTGTCTGTTTTGATCATATGGCGCACAACATCGATGTTGTTGTCGTTCGAGCGACCATCACGAAATTCGTCAATGAGATTCACAGGACCGCGTTTGAATTTTGCAAACTAGCTACAAATAGTCGTCTTGCATGGTGCTTCATCGCCAAAAGCAGTTTGAAGCCGAGCGAAGCTCGGCTGAGCTGTTAACTTGCACTAAAATTCGTAGAAAATAAATATTAATAATAAATATTGCTTGTGTAAGAGGCCAGTTCCGGAAACTTATAGTGCGCCCTATGTATACTCGCATATATTTTTTTTCCTTGTGATTTTTTGTATTTAGTTAATATAACAAATATGTGTTTTCAATTATTTTTTGTGGTAGTGGGCGTTGAATTTTTTTAGTAATAGTCTAGAGTGTGTGTTTTAACTACAAACCTAACCTAAACTCACAGGTGGAGGTCGAATCACCTAGCAACTGCAAACAAATTCGGTTCAGGCAGCTTTGTCATATATTAACCTAACTAGGAAATGCAAACAAATTCGGTTCATTCACCGTTGTACCTAAACACCATTGGAATTATATTAGTTTTTTTTCATACATACACATTCATCATTATACTCAGTGAATGTTATATCTGAAGTGTTTATATAAAATGAACAATATGCCATCAGTATATTAGATTGAAAGTTGTTATATCAATCGTCTATTATACCCAGTGACCTTTATATCATGTAAGAATATGTCAAATGTCTGTATACCATAAATTAATTATATCTGTTGAGCGTTATATCCACTAAAAATATGTCATTTGTTATTATATATTACGAATCGCACCCGATTATTTTATTAATATAAAGCATCCATTCTTCATCACCAATAATCATGCAATCTGAACCTTCTTGAATTTTGTGCCCTTCATTATGATAGTACAATCCTAACGCGTGTTGCAGTTTGGGCAATTCGTGAGACAATTTTTTTATACTAACTTGACGCAAATTGCAGTGTTGTGAGTAGTTACAATAAATTACTTAGTGGGTTACAGTTCACCAGGATAACATTCATAATAGGCAAACCAAAATTGCAATTAAGCATATCCGATTTCAAAATGAACGCAGAATCCATTTCGCCAAAATTTTAAATTTCGAAGCTTTTTATTTGTAATACGTTTCTAATCTGAATCACATACTTTATTTCAAAACGGTGAGAACTTTGAAACGGTAATTTCACACTTTTGCTTCTAATATTTATAGTAAACGAACTGAAGCTTTCCTTGAATCAAATCGTCTTTGTATATTGTTTTATGGAGAGTAGACTGCACTACCGAAATCAAATCAATTTATCGTTTATTAAATCGATCGTGCTGGGAATTAAACTTGTCCGGTGCAGTCTGTAGTCTAGCCAAGTTTCCAGTTGAGAACTTTATTGATTAGCGCGACATTGTCATCCACTGCAGAAAGCGACGTCCTTTAGTATAGTGATGTCAAGGTTTGAAACAATTATTATAAAATTATGTCTTCATCATTGCATTAATCAAGAGAAGGCTGTAATAATAAAGCCTGGTATTATGATCTTTTAAAAAAGAATGCAAGGTCCAGGCAATTCTTTTTACGTCCAAAAACTGACTGGACAAAATTCGTATTACGACATACATATTTTTCGCCGACTTCTTGCTGGTTATTTTGTCTATGACTGGGACTTGACTAGCTCGTGCTTTTTAATGTAACGTTCAAAAACATGGATGAATATTTATCGGTAAGTTCGGTGTTACAGTTTGTCACTTAGTTTAAGTGAAAAATAATAGATACGTTTTATCCGCTCACGCGATTCATGCGTCTCTGGAAGCATACCACACCTAGAGGTGCCGGTGATGATTTTATACCGATTTATCGGATATGTAAGTTGTTATAACTTACGTAAAAGAACTAATACTAATTGCTATTTCGGTAACTACTCTAGCAAACCATAAAGTTTTTAATGCCTGGGTCTGTCATTTAAAAAAAATAAACAACTTCAAAAATACGTCACGACAATCGTGTGTGTTATTGTTTGGGCTGGTGATGTCGCTGTTTATTTATTGAAAACATACCGTAAGTTGCGTTTTTTAAGTTTACCCTGAATATAAATGTTTATAAACTATACTTTAAGGAGTAATTTTGTGGTAAACATTAGATAGAACCACTCAAACGGAATATTATCATATTTACCCAAGTACACCAAAAATTTCATTAGTGCTTTTTAAGTGCACGACTTGCGGTGTATTACTGCATTTTATTTGAGATGTTTTTGTTGTAGTATGGACGGTTTTATTTAGCAATGCAGAATAATAATTTTTATTTTTAAAAACTTGTATTTAAACTGAATCCTTTTCTAATTTGCGAAACCAAATAGCCGCCATTTTGCGGTAGGATGAGCGCATCGCGTGAGCGGTTATTCATGTACGAAAGTAAATAAATAAATACACTATATAATAATAATAAACACACTATATAATATAATCAATACACTACATGTTCATTTTTGTAAATAAGAAAAAAGCGCAAATTAAATTTCCGAACGACGTCAAACGTCGACGAAATTCCGC